GTTAACTATTCGGAACAAATATATAATAGAAATAAAAATGAGTAATTGCATGAAGTATCAAGACAATAAATCTTACTAACCTAAGAAATTCAATGACATTCTGTGTTGCCATCCGAAAGTTTTCAAATAATTCAATTATCTTCTTTCATTAGCCAGACTCTAGACTCTAGAGTAATAGTTTAATCTATGCCCTCGTCTAGCAAGCTAGTCTATGCCGGATATACGAAAACATTCGCTATTCTTGGCTATAAAGTACATTGTATCACGGTTAATGTTTGTTTTACGAGTATTTTAAATGCAAATGGCGGTTTTAGCGTCGTAACAGTATATCACTAATGCGATTAAAGTTATTTGATTTTATATTTATAGTCTATAATCTAATTTTACTGTGACGTTCTACTCAGTGAGTGATCTGTTGACAACGTCTTGGACTTTATAGTTTAGATGTCTATTATTTTCTAATAAAAAAAATGGTTTTTTATTTTATAATATGTATAATCTTATATATTATACGCAGAGGCATTGCGTCTCTTTGCGTTTTCTATAAAGTGTGAAATGAGTGTCTTCCCTGAGAGATACGACCTCAAAATGTTCAAATTTCCGGCCGGCAACGCACCCACTAAAAATGAGTGTCTATGGTCTGCGATGACTGCCCTACGATGCGATGACTTTGGGCGTCCCGCAGGATCGTTTGCCCCCCTATTATATAAAAAAAATATATTAAGTTATCCCCCCTATAATGCGTGTTCGTATAACGCGATTTTCGTCCCCCATAAAACGCGTCTTTTCCCCCTATAATTCGCATCCGTATAACGCGTATTACGTCCCTCATAAAACGGGGTTTCCCCCAAAAACGCGTTATCGTATAAAGCGATTTCCGTCTTTCAATAAACACGGTATTTCCACCTATAACGCGGTCATTTCTCAAGTTATATTTATATAGTTTGAAATTTATAATGATTTGTCAAGTCCGTAATAATTAGTTTTGCGTACCTATGCACCTGTGTGTGTGATATAAAATTAAACTAAATAACTTTATTGAATACGTGTCCCTAGTTTTACAATTGGTAAAAAAACGGATTTACGAGAGTACACCTACAACGCGATTTCCTATAACGCAGTCCGCTATTCTTTACATTATAGGCAACGCAACCTACTTTATGTACGAGTATGTAGCTACCCACGCACTTCGCCCAACGCTTTTTCTCTTTCAGAGGCATTCACTAACAATCTTCAAAAAGTAGTGCAACAGTAGTTTAAGTGTTGCCCCGTCTCACCTCCCTCGGAAATAGGCTGGCGGCCGCACAGCAGACGGAAAGTCATAAACGGCTCAAGTATAAGTCCTCCAACTTCGATTGTGTTCCCTTTGGAGTAGACTCTTGGGCCGTGGGGTTCAAGTGCATAGCTAATTAAAGATTTAAATTGGCTGGTAGATGGCAGCCACAGCTGGTGCATTCCTTAACGAATAAGTATCGCAATACAGCGAGGAAATGCTGCCAGCGTTAAAGGTACACTGCCACAGGGACTATATATTTTTTTTATTACTTTTTAACTATTTTAAATAGTACTACGTGGGTTAAGTTAATTGTAAATACTGTATATTTGACTGTAATACATAATTATATTAAGGCATAGTATATATTTTTAGCCAGTTTATTGGGTATGTAACACCCAAAAGCCAACGAGCCAAGCCATGTTGTCAGGCTTCCTTCCTTTCACACGATAAAGAAGAATTAACCGAATTTAATTATTATATCTCATACTACGTCAGTTTATGAAAAAGAATAAATTAATATTCTGTGCACATCAAATATGAATAAATCCAATCAAATTGATATCAATAAATATTGATCTCGATTCAATTGTCATCGCTTCCCGCCAATGTTGGCACGGCGCCATTTTGAAATGTACTCTTTAATTTTATCGAATGTGATCGTTGTTCTATTGTCTATTGGCTAACTATACGATGTCTCAGTAAATTTTTCTATGGTCTATGCTCACAGCGAAATTTGTGACGATTTGATAAGAAAAAATTTAGTTTTTTATACACTTATAAATTGTAATATAACATTCTCGTTTCCGATAATGTCCTCGACTACACATATATTCTTTATCAGTATCAGTCTAGAGACTGATCAAGAGTTCTGACCGCTCTAGGCTATTTATCAGGAAGCGCCCCTGCCATGGTGATAGGTGTGTTACGGTCGGTCTAAAAAGTAGTATATTAGTTTTGACTTTGTTTACTAGTGTGAAAATTGTAACATGGTTCAAATTCAAATTCAAAAATCATTTATTCACGTAGGTAACACAATGTACAGTGTACACTTGTGATTCGTCATTAAAGAAATAAATATTAATGCTTCTAATTTTACATTTACTGCCAGTTCACAAATCAAGGGCGTAGAACGGAAGAGAAGAACTGGCAATAAACTCTCCGCCACTCTTTTTAATCGCCATGTTTTTTTTTTACACAACGTTTGTAAGGAGCTGCAACCATTACACCATGTTCCACATGACATCTTAAGTAATTAATAATAATAACATAAATTAAAAACAAAGACTTGTCCTCTATCAGCAGGAGGCATGGTGAAATAGGAGCACGCACTTACATTCTCGTGGGAATAACACGCAAACACGCAAACACTAAAAAAAAAAAACAACGGGAGCACTCCGGGAGTGCCGGCAGAAGTGAAAACTTCAATATTAACGTTGTGTTTAATTATAAGAATAAAAGTACTATCATTTATGAGGTAGAATACAATGTTTATTTATTGCGCTATCGTACACAAATATGACAATTTATATGTTGTTATTTATAATATTATATCGTTATTTATATAATATTACATTAAATTTTATCTCTCAGAAAAATCAACTTCCATCCATAATTTCGACGACTTTTACACCATCGTTATTATCAGAATCATCATCGCAAATTTTTACAACTGATAGGTAGGTACAATTGGTTTATGATAACTGAAGTAAGAAACAAACAGTTTTGATTCGAACCTATTTAAGTGTCTAATAAAGACCGTACTCATTTGCTTTCACTACTTCATCATCACTTTTTTCATTAATAGATTCACTTTGTTCGATTTCCATAATTTAAACAATTCACATTTACGAATACACAACAGTGTATTTACTACACAACAGTCAAGCAATCAGCTGTCACCATCCTTGGATACGCGTGGGACGCTGTACATAAACACACACGGTCATTCGCGCAAGCGCCCTGTGCCGCCTAAACAGAGCAGCACACTCAGGCACGGTAGAAAGAGTGGGAGATACTAGTTCCTCTCCCTTCCCCTCGATCTTACGCTTTTTCGATCAGCATCACGTGACCCTGACGCAAGTTTGAAAGTTTTTACCCATACAAAAAGTGCTCAGCGCCGCTAAAGAAGTTTTCACTTCAAAAGCTATAAAAGTTTACAGATCGATCTGCAACAAATCGATCGATCGATCTTCTAACTCAACGTGCCTCGTCTCAACTTAATCGAAATGAAATTTCGGTTTCTTTATTCTTCTTACATCTTTTTTGTATGTGGTCACTTCGCATCTCTTGATTGCCTCTGATTCAAAATTTTTAAACTCTTTTTCGTCACGCAACGTATCAAGATAAGCAATGTCTCATAAAGAGTAACAACGTCAGATAAATCAACAGAACTTGTTTGTAGCTGTGTACTAACGATTTGAAACTTTACAAGCACAGAGTTCCAAAAGCACAACATTATTGCAATTTATAGTTTGTTTTTTTTCTAAAACTGCTTTTGCGTCTATTTTGGCTTCTTTTCTAGTTTTTGACAGATTTTCTTGTACCGTAGTAGTATCCAAATAAGATGAAGTTAGATTCTTTATAATAAAATTTTCCATAAGCTCGTAAACCCAGTTCACAGTTAATTTAGTGTTTCGTTTCGGTCTAGTTGAAATATGCAGAGGATGATGCTAGCGAAGACAAGATTTCAGCACGCCCGCGCCCCCAAAGATCGTCGCGCCCTAGGCTGCAGCCTAATTAGCCTAAGGGTTAATCAGGCCCTCAGTATCAGAAGTGTCACTTAGATTTAAGAACCCATTAATAAGTCCAGTTAGTTTTTCGTAAGCGTCGCAAAATTAAAACACAAGCTCTACTTGACGATTTAAGTTGGCGCTTCATAAATACCGGTGAACCCAGAGCTGGTGCTTTCCTTACTCAACGAATAAGTATCGCAATATAAATGCCAGCATTAAGGATAAACTGCCACGGGGATCGAAGTATTTAAATAAAAAAAAGTGCGTGCGTACAAAGTACACATGTCAGAAGTGAAACTTCTTTGCATATGCATAATTATTACTAAGGTAAAAGCCCCAAAATATGTATTTGTATATCTATATTCACACTATTTACACACAGTATACGTGCTAATGATAATATAAATAAATAAAAATCTGCGTTTACTGCACAAGACGTTATGCGACAGAATTGTCATCTAAAGTTCTAATATGTAACTACTAAACGAATACATCAACCAATAGCGTGTATTTTCTCTCGATCTCCCTTACTTTCTCTCTCAATCATTATCACTATAGCTCTCTCCCACCTCTCGCTCCATGGCACTGTGCGTGATGCGACGTTCGCTCTATCTCACTCTCTCTTTCAATCTGTCTCAATCGCTTTCTCCGTTTTCTTTGACAAAAACGCTGCACATCTTCGTGACGCTTATATTATTATTATTGCGTTTCATCCGTAAAAATTTTACCCTCATTCGCTTAAAGAAGTTTCACTTCAAAAATCACATATATTGTTGCAGCGCTTTTGAATTATTATTAATATTTTCGACATATCCAAATGAAAGCCCCGCCATTTTTCTATTATTCCAGACCATTAACATAACTTTTTGTTACAGATAACCTCCTTGTGCCTCGAAGCGCGCGAATGTCAAACGTCAAAGTGTCAACGAGCCGTAGACAAAATGTGTCATAGATTAAAATAGACTTAAAGGGGTAGCAAGAAGCTTTCTATAATGGCTACGCCTCCGGAGTCACCCGTAGAAGAACATGCGTATGAATTGGAACCGAACCGACCTCCAAAGCCAATACCTGTAGCCTTAGAAGAATTGTGTAGGCAGACTAAGTTCTCGAAACAAGAAATTAGAGTAATGTACAGAGGATTTAAGACGGTGAGTTATTAAGTGAGATATTGGGGATAGGGTGAGATATTAAGGACCTATCTGGTCGCCAAACTCGAAAAAAGTACATTGTTTCTTTCCATTTGTCGTCATTTCTTGAAGTAGGGCGAATGGAAAAAATATATGGTGGAGTTGTATCCATTTTGAAAGATCGATACACGATTTAAATAACTTCGCTGGATAGAAAAAAATCCAAACATAGCCAATTTTTTACACTTTGAATTAATTTTATGACGAAAATATATAAAACATGATTTTTAAATTTACACGATATATTTTATCGCAAGCCAAGTAATCCATTTCAGAAAAAAAATATAAATTACAATAATTTAATGTTCTACATAACTAATTGTTATTACGGACCGGCGAGCCTCAGTGCTCCAGCTCTCCACTGCGCCCCGCAGTCCACCCCGAGACACTGACACAGCAACTCGTGCCGGATAGGGCCTTAACCCTTTATTACACAGAGCAGTGTGTCATAAAGTCGATGTTTTTTAAACTGACTCATCGGGCAATAAATGACACTGACTGTAGAAATGTGCACGCTTAGGTTAGCTACCTGCGCACGCGCTTTGACTACTAATTGGTCGTTACGAGTAAGGGTTGTTGTTTTTCTATAAATATAAGATTGTTTGTTATGACACTATTTTTTTTTATATAACAGGGGAAGAGGCTCACCAGATGGTAAGTGATACCGCTGCCCATGGACACTCTCAATGCCAGGGGGCTCGCGTTGTAGGACTTTTAAGAATTGGTACGCTCTCTACTGCTAGCTACCATACTTACGCTTCGTTACGTAAAACGCACAATGGAGAATTTATTTTCTAACGTGGTTTTTGAAGAAATGTTGACAAGAAATGGAGAAAAATTATTCCTATTATTACATAATCTAGCATATCGATTGAACATATCCCGTTATCGATATGCACCTCTAGAGTTCTTTCGCACATCACTACACCTCTCTATATCCTCCTCTCGTACACCTGTAAGTGCGAGCGAGACAGAAAGTTTTGATTATCGAACGATTCTGATTGCTAGGTATTTTAAAAGATATTATATTAATAGTACAGGCAACACAACCTATCATATCAGTTGTTCCTAAATTTGTTTAAAGGGGCCTAATAGCCTAGCGGTCTTATTAAGTGGCAGCTAGGTGAGGGGTATCGGGTTCGATTCCCGGTTCGAGGGCAAGTTTTAATTTAAATTTATTCTCGGCCTTTGGGAGGGTTGTGCGGTACCGGGCGAGTGCCTAAACCGTACATGGAGGACACGGTCGAATTTCTTAAGGCAAGCACGAATGATAAAAAATCCTATACTTGACGCTGGCTAATGCACAAACCGTGCCAGAGCCATATAAAAATAAAAAGTTTGTTTAAGCCTAGAACTGTATTTTCTAGATTTCCCTCTTCTTCCTTCTATCAACCTATACATGTCAGTCCTACTAATGGTGGAAGGCTGCGAATTGGATGCTTTGTGTATAATTGAGCTCAAAAATCAAACCCAAAAATAGTTTTACGTCCAATTTCAACGAAACTGTTGGATTCTAAAAATTATCGAGGACCTGAAAATTGTAGAGGCAACGCCAATAATTATCATATGTAATACCACAAGAGCTTCAAAATTATCGGGTATTTCCCGATAGGTTCGTTGCAAACAATTAATATAGTTGTGTAGTAATACGACTGTCGTCGTCATGACGACTATATTTGTTTGCAACGAACCTTGAGGGAAATGCCAGATAATTTTGAAGCTCGTGTGGTATTCGGGGGATTATTTTTCCGACCCAAATGTCGGCCAATAGAATTGCACCATGAGACGAAATGTACAGTTAACAAATAAGAATTTCATAATGAATAAAACAACTACTTAATACTTTTCTTGAAGCAACGACCAGAGAAAATTTTCACAAAAAATTTTCAGTATAATACCATGTAGGTTGTACCACGTGACGTCGAATGGTGCAATTCTATTGGCCGATATTTGGGTCGGAAAAATAATCTTGAAAATTTGTACGCCTCGTACTTCCAAAAATTGATGAAATCTCAAGCGATTACAGTTTGTAACTCTTGTAAACATATTAAGTTTTGCATTGCACGACTCATTGGTCTAGGGGTTAGTACCCCTGACTGCGAATCCATGGGTCCCGGGTTCGATCCCCGGCTGAGACGAACATCGATGTGATGAGCAGGTGTTGTGCTTAGGTCTTGGGTGTTTAAATATGTATTTATATGTCTATCTAAAATATGTATGTATATCCGTTGCCTAGTACCCATAACACAAGCTTCACCAGCTTAGCAGGGGAGTAGGTCAATTGGTGTGAATTATCTTAAAAAAAAAATTTGATTTATTGAAAAACTCGTCCCCGACCTTACCCGATTCAAAATACCATGCAAATTGACCTTAATAACCCATTTTCCAGCAAGGCATTTATATTTTCAGTTCTAAAACTAGCCAGACACGAACGTATCACTCAAAGTTAGCGTCGTGTGGTCCAAGTGAAACTTTAACACCGCGGAACACGTTTCAAACTATTTAACTCTGCCTTGCGCTTCTGTAACTCACTTTTCGAACTCACAGCGGTTTTGACAGCGGCGGTCGCGCTCAAATCAGTCGTGAAGCACTCATTACACGCTTTATATTAGCTTCATCTGTATGTATGTAACCGACTCCTTCGGACTCGATTTTGACCCACTTTTAACGGACAGATTTAATTCAAATATACTGGTATAGTCCTTTTCATGAAAGAAGTCCCCCAGACGCGGCGCTGCAATCGCATGACGTAATGTTGCCATTTATGAGTAAAAAATTTACCTATTTTATGTACATTTAGCAGATGTAATTTATCAAATAATATTATTTTCTGCATACTTCGATGAACAATATTTCTGTTATGTAAAAATTATATTTTTATTTACTTATATTAGCGGTGTTCTACCTACTTACAGGGATAAGATGAGAAAATAGGGTAAAAGAAAAGCAATACAATTTTTTATTCAGAGTTTTATTGCATAATTGTTGGGTTACAAATTTTTTTGAAGTACACGCCGCTGTTATACCTTCGTTTGTAATTCTTGTTACAGTTTTCTATGACACACCTGCAATTAAATTATGAACAATTAAAAATAATAATAACTAAGTTTATAATGCTTATGTTAAATGTAATATATGTTTTAATTTCAGTTACCTAGTTTCACCACGTTATGTATTTGTTCAATTTTGTCGCAAAAACGAATTTATATCATAAAAGTCCCATCAATACAGCAAAAAATTATTAAATGGCAACTCTTAAAAGGTACCTGTTATGGCGGCAACTCTCTTCCGAACATTGTTTAGTGGTATTAAAACACCTTGATTCTTATGTTCCGCTTCATAGAACTCTTTCACCTTTAATATCATTTCTCGAGCCGAAATTTTTACAACTTTTGGCATTGTAATCAATCTTTAAAATGCACTAAGCTAGTTAAAAATTCACAAAAATCTACCACAACAAACGAACTTAATAACATCGACGAAAGACAACATTGCCGACCTGTCAAATTTAGTTCCAAAAATCACCGCGGGACTTCTTTCACGAAAAGCACTATACATGATCATCTATGCGCACCTGTCAAAGATCGATGACAATGCAATAATCCGAAAAAAAAAAATAAAAAAATAAACAAAAAAAAAAAAAAAAATTGCTCGATAATATCTCGGCAAAAATTGTTCGGCACAGAGCGCCCCACTCTTTTCACAATAATACCAGTATTTTTTGTTCATTACCATTTTCAGCCTAAATTAGGAATTATTTTTCACTTTTTAGTTTGATGTGCTTTAAAAGCGTGTTTTTTTAGTTTTTTTAACTATTATTTATTTATTTTTTACGATTTGGCATTCTGATAAACAATAAATAGTCTAGTCGACAAGTTGAAAATGGAACAAAATAGAGATACTGCTCTTAAAATTATGTGCGATAGCTCATTGGATCCGGAATGACGTCTAGAAAAATGTGCTAAAAGCGTGTATTAGCACATAAAAAATTGCAAAAGTTATAGACAATTAAAGATGAAAAAAAATGGTATTTAGTTTTTTTGCTTTTAGCACATTTTTCTAGACGTCATTCCGGATCCAATGAGCTATCGCACATAATTTTAAGAGCAGTATCTCTATTTTGTTCCATTTTCAACTTGTCGACTAGACTAAAACTACAAGCTCCTTCCTTGTCAGACAGCTTAATTTATTTGAACATCCAACAACTGCCACAGAACAGTTGTAGGTACGCACAACGGACCAACCACGAGTCTAATTGCGGAGAAAGGAGTCCTTCTACCCTAACTGCCACAGAACTTAACTCTAACAAGTAAAAAATTTAAATAATGAAACTTAATTTAACGTGACATAACGTGAAGTACTGAATCGTTTATGTTTGATGTTTAAAGAACTTTATTTCTCATTACAAAAAATGTATATTTATTTATATGAGAAACTTAATATAATATAAATATACGAACGAGATACGCGTCGCGGATTATTAAAAGCTAAACATAACATTCAACAGTATTTAGAATTTTCTTTACCTACAAAGTAATGATAATAAAAAGAAAGTGCGTGCGTACAAAGTGCACATGTCAGAAGTGAAACTTCTTTGTAAATTAATTATTACTAAGGTAAAAGCCCCAATAGATGATCATGTAGCAGTATATGATCACTCCATGTATTTGTATATCTATATTCACACTGTATACATGCTAATGATAATATATATAAATAAAAATTTAGTGACATTTAATTGCCGAAAATTAATACAAATAACACATAAAATTTATTTCTTTGATAATAAAAACACGTGGCATTTTAATTTACAATTCGTCATTTGAGATTTCAATAAATTAATTTGCATAAAATATAAAATACTTATATTTCATACAATTTCTTAACGAAATTTTAATTTTAAGTATTTCTATAAAGGTAATTCGCCCTTCTCACTCTCTCTCAATCGGTCTCAATCGCTC